AACGTCAGCTTTCCTGCTCCTCTGATGCTGCCTGGCCTGCTGTGTTCCTCCAGCTCCACACCTTGTTATCTCAGGCTCCAGCATCGGCAGTTCCTACTACGTCTAAGAGATAACAAAGTTGCCTTGGCAAGTTGTTCCATGATGTTGCAGTTTAAAGTCTCCCAGAGTGCTCTCTTTAGCCACCGGGAGATTGATGCCAATTCCCTGAGATGTTTGGTCATTTCGGGACAGTTGACGAACCCTCCAAACTCCAAAAGTTCACAAAGTGAACTAACATCTCCCCATCTCAGTCCTAAAGCACCGGCCCTACCCTATCAAGCTCCAGTCAGACCCATGCATGCCTCAGTCATGTTTCCTCACGTTCTTCTAAAACCCTGGCGAATATCAGCCCCAATTTACTTGGCCATTCAACACAGGACAACCCTCTCGGGCTCAGTGTTAGCAGATGTCAGCTCAGGGTCGGTTTTGCCAGGGTATACAGAGTGTGTTCTCTCCATGAGCCCAAGGGAGGTTTCTCGTACTCTCTGCCCAAACTCACCCATCCACTGTGTTCCTATGGCACCCCATTCACTGGATTCTCCCATGAACCACAGACAGAGGACTGCAAGGACCTCCGTGCAGTGGCGCCAAGTCTGAAGATCAGCCATACACGTGAACAAGCTCTGGTCATCTATTGCTGCTCCTATCATTTGCCGCAAATTGGCAGTCTAGCCTGGAGGTCATGGTGGATGGTGAGGGAGTGCAGTCGGTGCTCACTGAGCATGCCCTAAACTATTGCTGCCCAGCGCCCAAGATGGGAGTCTGGAGGAGCAAGCAGCAAACTGGAGTTTCATTCTGAATCTGGAAATTGAACCTAGGCATGTCGTAGCAGTCAATCTAGTAAACTCTAGCTATACCTTCTCCAAGACAAGTAGACCTTTCCACAAAGATAGAGAGCAAATCTGCACACTGCTCTAGATGGGACTTTGTAATAGCCTAGAGGAGGCAGCGACCCAGTGGTATCATCACTCGACTGTTAATCCAGAGATCCAAGTAATGTACTGGGGACCCAGGTTTGAATCCCACCACAGTATTTGGCGGAATTTGAATTCAATAAAAATCTGGAATTAAGAGTCTAATGATGACCATGAATTCGTTGCTGATTGAAAAACCCATTTTGAAACTGCCGTCCTTACCTGGTCTGGCTCACATTTGACTCCAGACCTGCAGCAGTATGGTTGACACTTATCTGCCCTCTGGGCAATTAGGGATGGATAATAAATGTTGGCCTTCTGAATGAATAACAAAAAAATTGTAATGAGGCTTCATTATTTTGTATTCCAACCCTCTTGCAATAAAGGCCAACATATCATTTGCCTCCCTAATTGCTTATTGGACCTGTGTGCTAACTTTCTGCATACCTTGTACACGGCCAGCTCTCTGAACATCAACATTTTACAACTTAGCCATCGTTTTTAAAAAATACTCTGCATTTCAAATCTCTGGGTTTGTTATCAACTCTAATAATCTGCACACGCCTGTTTCCACACTGACCTGTAGGTAATCTTCACTTGAGCACCAGGTTCATCTCTCTCCCAGATTAAAGCGACCTTGTCTGGAGAGGTGTGGACATGGCGGTCTATGCAGTTCACTGTTTGTGCGAAATCACAAAGGAAAGGATTAATCCTTGTCAGAACAAGTACCTGATCGTTTTGCAGGCGGCACTTAACAGGAAGGTGAAGTGGAAAGAAAAGGAGCCAATCGATGTTATGATCCCAGCTGATGGCAATAGTGGACAGGTCAAATTCCACAACAAAACTTGGCTTGATACCCTATAAGCTTTATTTTTGCAATTTGATTACCAGTCACTGAATATATTCGCAAGAGGCAGTCAATGTACTTTTAAGAAAATAACGTAAGTTTATTACACAAAATAATAAAAAACGCTATTTTTATGGCAATTTTGAAAGACCTTATCATAATCAGCAAACAAAACTACTCATTTTCCCAACAATATCCTTTGCAGACACTCAACCCCACATTGAGATATCACTCACATCTTCGCTTTGATATTTCTTACTGAGTTACAAAATAGGAGCAGACATGGACTATTTGGATCCTGGATGGATGAGGTTGCAAGTGGTGTCCATTCACCAGATGTGATTCCCTCCATCTGAAATTCTGAAGAAGGGTCGCTGGACTTGAAACGCTAACTCTGCTTTCTCTCCACAGACGCTGTCAGACCAGCTGAATCTCTCCAGCAATTTCTGTTCTTGTTTCAGATTTCTAGTATCCATAGTTCTTTATTGTATTTTAGTGATATTCTCAATTACTGCTTTTCCCGACACCCATGCATAGGCTGACTCAATCATTTTTCTCTGACTTTGATCATTTTGAGGCACTAAGAGGGCTTAAGATTGTTTTTAATAGCTCTGATGACTTTAAAATTCCAACAAACTAAAAGTTTTCCTTCTGTTATAATGGGCCTGCCCTTCTGAACTCGAGTTATGGGATCTCCCAAAGTACACAGTCAATTGTGAGGGAGAGGGTTGCAGAGAGGGTCAGTATAGTCACTGAATTAGCCATCCAGAGAACCAGGCTATAGGTCTGGGAACAGCTACCATCACAGTATCTGGTGGAATTTAAACTCAAATAATAAACTCAATAATTAAACGGTGAGTCTCAGTGACAACTATCACTTCTTGTATAAATCCACTTGATTCACTAATGTCCTTTGGGGAGGGAAATCTGCCATCCTTACCTGGTCTGACCTACAGACGTACAGTAATGTGGTTCTCTCTTAAATACACTCTGAAGTGGCCCCCAAAAGCCTCTCAGATCAAGGACAATTAGGGACAGGCAACAAATGCAGGCCTTTCCAGTAATGCCCACTCCCTATTAAAGAAAATGAGTCACACTGAAGCACAATTATGAACACCATGGAGATTACTGTGGTACTTGCAAATACTAAAAGCTGACAAGCAGAAATGAGGTGCACAACTGCAGTGAAGGAAGGACTGCGAACTGAGATGTTTTTAAATTCTGTTTCTCTCCTCACCATAAATTTTATTTTTGCAATGTGGTTACCAGTCACTGAATTTATTCACATGAGACAGTCATTGTACTTTTAAGAAAAGATCATAAGTTTATTGCACAAAAGAATAAAAAAAAGCTATTTTTACGACAATTTTGAAAGATCTTATCATAAACAGCAAACAAAACTAACCATTTTCCCAGCAATACCCTTTGCAGATACTCAATCACATTGAGATATCACTCACATCTTCACTCTTACTGAGCAGAAGTAGACCATTTAGATCCTCGATGGATGAGGCTGCAAGTGGTGCACCTTCAAAGATTTCCTGCACATTCACCAGACATGATTTCCTCCATCTGAAAGCTGTGGAGCATTTCTGGAAATTTCCGTCTTTCATGTCAGATTTGCAGCAGCTACAGCATTTTGCCTTTGGTACGAGGTTAATCACGACGGTTGAGGGAAAACAGATGATCCAGATTAGCAGTCACTCATCTTTGAGTAGCCCCTTGTGGTAGTTAACAGCAACAAGAAACAGTAAGACCTGGATTTAGCACCATGTCCAGAGGATGTCTCAAGAACGCAGTGCTCGCTCAGTACGGCACTGGGATACAAGCCTGGCCGGAGTTTCAAACTACGACGTTGTAATTCAGTGGACAAAGGAATTTATAATTCACAGATAAAACTGTACAATCAGACCATTTCTACCATATGAGCATTTACTCAGCTTAATCCCAGTGTCTAGCTTAATAAACCCTCCAAATAGATTACATCACCTTACAGGTGTACCACTTCTACAAATATAAGGGAATGAAAACCTATTTCTTTAAACAGTTAAATATGAATAGGGAAATATATTTTATCAGAGATAGTAAGAACTGCCGATGCTGGAGTAGAGATAACACTGTGTGGAGCTGGAGGAACACAGCAGGTTAGGCAGCATCAGAGGAGCACAAAAGTTGACGTTTTGGGTCGGGATCCTTCTTCAGATTTTACCAGGTAAGGTTACCAATGGAGTAGGGACTCTGAGTTACAAATATACAGATCATTGAAAGGTACATGTGAGGTCAAAGGATAGCAGGTATTTCTGAACACCACCACTTGCAAGTTCCTCTGTGAGCCACACACCATTGAGACTTGCAGTGGTTCAAGAAGGCAGCTTCTCACAAGAGGCAATTAGCAATGAGCAATAAATACCGACTCTAGAAATTGACAGCTTCTGTGGGGCAATGGTAGCAAACACCAATATTTGCTTCTTCCTCACTACCACCAGAGAACCTGGGCCAGTGGCACAAGGATATAGGGCAAGATGGTTTCTGATAGTTGTTAATATTCATCAATAGATTTAAAGGATTTGCAGAGGGTGGTTCAAGAGGTGAAATTCTGTACAGAAAGTCATTGCTGCAATAAAGTTTTTAAACTCTATTATAAGGGAATTAAGACTGCTGTTTGATAAATAGAAATATTAGCAGGATTGGGCTTGTACAGAAAGGCAGCAATCTAGAGAATCATAGAATGCCTACAGTGTGCTTATCAAGTTTGCATGGACCCTCCTAAGAGCATCCCACACAGACACCTTCCCTATTCCCCTAACCCCACATTCCCCATGGCAAATCACCCAGCCTGCACATCCCTGACACTATAGGCAGTTTAGCATAGCCAATCCACCTAACTTGCACATCCTTGGACTGTGGGAGGAAACTGGAGTGCCTGGCAGAAACCCAGAAGCTGGGATGAATGATTTGTTCCTGGTTTGTAAGTCTCTGTGATTCTGTGCTATGGTCTGATCAGATAATAGTGACTTTATCTTTGATTCTGTACTCCAGATTTTACTGTTGTATAGACAATAACCTGTCAGCACAGATTGTCAAAATCCCATGATGCTGGCTGTTATATCTGGGCATAAATGTGCAGTTAAATGTAGAAATACAAACTTGTCTAGTACTGTTGGATGTATCTTTGGGCAATCCTTGGAAAATCTTTAGACAACTTAAATTGCAATAGGGACATAGAGAGTAGATGGGGAAGTAGGTAATTCAGTCCCTGGAGCGTGCTCCTCTATGTAATAAGATCACACATGATCTACTTGCGTTGTGAATTCCACATTCTCATCTATCCCCAATTCTTTTTGATTCCACTGTCTAACGAGAATCTAACCCCACCTTCAAAATATTCAATGACTCCACTTTCCCCACACACACGCACACACACACGCACGCACACACGCACACACGCGTACACGCACACACACACATATGCACGCACGCGTGCACACACACACACGCACACACACACACGCGCACACACACGCGTATGCACGCACGCATGCACACATACACGCGCGCGCACACACGCGTGCATGCAATACATGCGCGTGCACACACGGACACACATGTGCACACACACACACACGCGCACACACACACACTAATCCAGGAAACCCTGAAATCCCCTAAAATGTCACACCTTGATACAGATTTGCAAAAGCAACGTGGGTGATATAAGAAAAGATGTTTTCGCTCAACAAATAAAGTATGTAGTACGCTGCCTGGACATGTGGTGGAGGCAGGCTCAATGTGGAGGCATTCAAGAGGGACACTGGATGATTGGATTAAAAGAAAAACCGCAAGCACTGCAGATGCTGGAAATCAGAAACAAAAACAGAAATTGCTGGAAGATCTCAGCAGGTCTGGCAGCATCAGTGGAGATAAATCAGAGTTAATGTTCCGGGTCGAGTGACCCTTTCTCAGAACTGAGGAGCAGAATCAGAGTTCTGAGGAAGGTCACTTGATCTGAAACATTAACTCTGATTACTCTCCATAGATGCTGCCCTACCTGCTGAGATTTTCCAGCAATTTCTATTTTTTTTGGATTGGATAAAAAGAATGTAAAGGCAGGATATTGGCACGAGGTGATGACGCTCACTTGAAGAGCCAGTGGTGGCATGATGGGGCCAGTGACCTCCTGCATCGTAAAATTTCTGTGATTCTCTCCATCAGCAGCGTGTGGAGGAACTGACCAAGACTATTACAGTCTACTGTTAGAACCTATTGATCCCGTGTCTTCCTAATTGATTGCTGTACCCACAAGCAGTGCATGCATGGCACAACCTGCTGCAGAAGTGGTAGAGGCTGGTACAATTACAACAGTTGAAAGACATTTGGGCAGGTACAAATAGGAAAGATTTAGAGGGATATGGGCCAAACACAGGCAAATGGGACCAGTTCAGCTTAGGAAACTTGGACAGTATGGTCGAGTTGGGCCAAAAGGCCTGTTTCTGTGCTATGTGACTCTATGACTCTATAAACTAACTTCCTGCCTTGCTTGTTCGAGTATATGCAAATCCGTTTCAACATCAACAGTTACAAGTTTTGCACTGTTTAAAAATGTTTTGAAGCTGTTGATAAGAATTTATCATTTAGCTGCCTCTTTATCTGTCGATCTACAGCCTGTGTGCAGACAAGGCACATTTGACCTTTTGAACCAAACTGTTTGTTTGAATAAATGAATTCAGAGGCAATAGATAACGGTTAAATCTACACTTCTACTATAGAGATCTCAAGCTGCTGGTTCAAACAGACACAACAGTCATTGGGAGCTGTTCGCTTGTGTGTATGAAATTTCACTCCAAATAGTGGGCAGGATGAAATCTCCTATACGGCTCCTCTTCTGGAAATGGGCAGAGCTGGAGTGAGGACGGTGATCAGTTACAAAAGCATTTCTGCGGGAAATTGAATGTGTGATTGTATTGGAAGTGTACCAGTCTCCTGGTGACTGCTTCTCCCTAGTATACCAATAACCAAAATCATAAACAGGATGAACAACAGATTGAGGATTCACCTCCTACCTTCCCCTGATATTAGAAAGCTTTGTACTAGTCCCTGGAGCTATGAAACCAATTCTAAGTGTATTCTTGCAATGCTGCACCAGAAGAGTTGAGGATCTGGGGCCAATATTCCTACACTTCAACCCCAAAACTAACCAGTAGCTGAAAATAAATTATTCCGATCACTAAATGCCTGAGTCATTGCAAGCAGTTAATGGGTGCAATTCAGCACATGAAACATATGAAAGGACTGCTTGTTAGAAGGGTTGTGTCGCGTGACTTCCAAATGCAATTGTCAGTTCATTCACTTCCCCGTTCTCATACAACATTGTGCTTATTTTGGACAGATAGGGTACAATGCCAGGCACAGGGGGCTGGTCCACTAGTGTTACACACTGCCCGAAACTCTACTTGCTGGTCGCTTCAGAGGAGAGTCGATTGGCAATTCAGTCACAGGTCAACCCTGCTGGTTTTCCACTGGACAAGTTCAGTTCAAATTGTCCCTGTTGGATTCATGCTCACGGCCACAGCATATTAACAACAACAATTTAGCTTTATAGAGCCCCTGTCTCACGATAAACCATAGTCAGAACTCACACGACACCAGGTTATAGTCCAACAGGTTTATTTTTAATCACAAGCTTTTGGAGCGCTGCTCCTTCAAAGGAGGATTTCAAATAAACCTGTTGGACTATAACTAGATGTAGCGTGACTTCTGACTTTGTCCACCCCAATCCAACACTGGCACTTTCACATCACAATAAAACATCCTATGGTGCTTTGCAGCAACATTTCACATTTGACAGAGACCTATTCAGGCCTAAATGTTGAGACAGAGGTGAAGTTTGAGGAGTGGCTGGAAGGAGGGAAGACAAATCCAGAACTAGAGAGTTTTGGGGTACTGGCAGCTGATGGCAGAGCTGGAGGAACACAGAGATCTCTTATAGGGTCAAATGTGATCTACTGCACAACCCTCGTCAGTTGGTATTTGAAGTGGTGCCCATTTGCTCAGTGAAGCTTTTTCTTTCAAATTTTAACACACAGACATTGGTGCTGATTCAATTTCTGAGAATGCTGATCGATCTGAATGGAGAGATTTTTATCAATTTGTAACATTCCTATCAAAGAAGAGGGGCTAACCACATCAGCCTCAGGCTCATTTAAATCCCCAGTTTTACTCAATCTTAAAAAAAAATCAGATAACCGAATTTCCATTTCATCTCCCTTTTTCACAGTGTCTTTCTGTTCCTGTCTAATTCTATGTGCCTGAGATCTAGTCACAATACAGTCAGGAAACAATCCAGGATATTGTTCATGTAGTTACTTCTATGACCACTAGTTGTTCCACCACCTTCAGTGAGGCCAGTATTTTTGAACCAGTGAGATCATTCACCAAGATAAGATCAGTTCCTTCCATAGGGACTTGTTGCACTACTAACTACAACTTCTCTGTTTACTATATCACTCCTTAACTAACCCCGTATAAGGGTACTGGTTTGTAACCTTGGTGTATATATCCAATTAATATTCCTACTTCATTATCCCCTGTGGAAGACAAATTATATCAGCACCTAGCATCAACAATTGACTTACTCCAGTGTCGCTCAAAATCTTTATTGGGTTTCTCCTCAATTAAAGAATCAGGAAAGAACTCACCCTTAAAACAAAATATTCAGAACCAGTGGTTTGACCTTCTTCATCAACAATCAAAAAACAATTTGCTTAACTGTCCAGAGACATCTCCCCCTTCCTAACAGATTCTGAGGAAACACATTCCATTTGTACTTAATTTTATTTTCATTTATTTGGTCATTTTGTCAGTTTAATGTTAGACAAAGATTTCAAATAATTCACTGTCACATTTTCTGCAACAGACAAAGCCATTTTGAAATTCCAAATGCTGCAACATACTTCATAATAACTTCCTTGTTTATGATCACTACCTCCATGTACTCATTTTTATAGTTTCTTAGATCATTCTTAAATACAACCAACCTCTATCCCTGACGAAATTCCACTTTGTTACCATCACAGTTGATGTTAATGCTGGACAAGGCAGATTCCAAAGAGAAACTTGGTTTGATAGAACCTAAGCTTTGTTTTTGAAACTTGTTTATGATGGTGGTCAGTCATTGAACATACGCACAAGAGGTTGCTAATGAACTTTTAACAGGAGAACATCAAGGTTCATTACACTCAAAAAGAACACAAAACCAAACTATTTTACTTGAAGAACTAAGTAAAATAGCCTTATATCAAATATCAGAAATAAAAACTTAACACTTTTTACTCTCAGCAACAATCTAACAGATACTCAGCCCTCATTAAAGTTCCCTCTTCAATTGGCACAGCTGAATCCGGTTTCTTTCCAGCAAACGTCTGCATTCACTTGATGCTATCTTCTTTAGGTAATGTTTCTTCCTGAGACTATTAAACAAATTGTCAACACAGCTCACTTATTTCGTAACATGTTCCTTTACCTAATGTCTTCAACAACCTTATAGAATCTCTTCCTTTCCAACATCTTAACATCTTCTGATACTTTACTCTTACTAACTTCTGAGACACCTGTAACATTTTTTTCTTCTACCCTGACTGTCTTGGAGACTGCTAAACTGTACTGCTGATGTTACAAGCCTCATTTTCTTTGAATGACCTGCTTCTCCCTGATGGAAACCTCATCACTACCCATGGACTAATCTAGATGGTTCTGTCTTTTTAAAATATCTTTTTTTCAGTCTCTACCTCCCTGTCTCATAGGACACCTTGTGCAACAATTTGGTTTTATTTCACTTCAACTTTTTACTCTTTGTTTTGTAAAACAGTGAGCTATTCACCTCAAGTTCTTTAAAGCCTCATTTAAATGCATGTAAACAACTTTCTAACCAATCCTGTAACTTTCAGATTTTTTTTAATATCTGAGTTATGGCAGCGGTACAGAGCTGCCTGTAAATTTAAAAAAAAACTAAATGGGAGTGAAACAGATAGATGGGAAAAGGGAGAGGGAGGCAAGCGGGAGGGGACAGTAAGAGGAAGGGGAGAGGGAGGATGAAAAGAGAACAGGAAATGAGGGTAAAGGAGAGAGTAGAGGAGGGAGGATGAATGGAAGAGGGATGAAAAGGAGTGGAGGAAGGAATGAAGATAGAGAGAGAGAGAATGTGTATACAGGGAGGAAAAGAAGAGGCAATGAGGACTGCAGCGGAATTATATAGAAGTGGAGTGGAGAAATGGCAGGGAAGAAGGGGGATTGAACTGGGGAGATGGAAAGGAAGTGGGGGGAGGGGAATTAAGGGGGATGTGGAAGGGGAAAATGGGGAAGTGAGGTGGAGGGTTAGTGATGGAGGGGGTGAGTAGAGAGGGTGGAGAGGAGGAGGGATAAGTGGAAGGGCAGAGGGGAGGAAGTGGAATGGCAGGGGAGTGGGGGGAGGTGGAAGGGGAAAGTTTAAGGGGGAGCAGTGGAAGTGGAAAGTTTGGTGAAGTGGGGGAAGGGGAAAGGTTGGGGGGGGGGGGGAGAGATGGAAGGGGAAAGTTTGGAGGTGGAGAGGTGGAAGGGGAAAGTCTAGGGAGAGAGAGGTGGAAGGGGAAAGTTTGGGGGAAGGGGCAATGTTGGGGGGGGGGGCAAGGGAGGGGGAAGTTTGGGGGGGGGGGGGGTCAGTGTCGGTGGGACCCACTCACCTGAGACATTGAGGCGCCCTCCCTGGAACCAGCGGATGATCCCTCGGCTCAGGTCGCAGTCGCTGACCGTGTGGAAGGGGCTGATCCAGGAGAGTCTGCCCCGGGCTAGGGCTCCCCAGAAGCTGTCGGGCTGTTTTACCGAGTGATCGCGGAGCCCCGTGTAATCCCTGACCCCAGGGAAAGCCGCCGCTTCGGGCATGTAGGCTGTGACATTGAAGGTGCAGCAAGTCCTGAGCCGGTGGGAGTTAGCAGCTCCCCGGGAAGGGAGCAGGAGCTTGAGGGCACACCAGCCAACTCTCAGCAGCTTCATACTGGAGAGAGGCAGTGAGAGCTCTCGCTATCCGGACCAAGTCTGCAAACACACACACACAGACCTGTTGATGTTTTCTGCAGATCCCAGTGTATGTGGGGGTGGGGGAAACTGAACCTTAACTCACATCTGCCTCTGAACTAACTGTTGGCCAGAACCCAGCAACATCTGCACTCAGTGTCAGAAACAGCCACAAGGTCCCAATTGTAAAAATATTATATATATATATATTTTACACAGCAGCAACAGGAGGATTTCACTATTACTGCCCATTCATGCTGGAAGCCAGCCTGCAGTTAACTCACTGGTCACACAAATTCAAGGCGATAGTTTCTATTATGAAGAGGGTGTTAGGCAGAATTTGTTTCCAATGGCCAGGATTAGGTGGGGTGGGGTGGGGGATATGTGATCAGAGAATCCAGATTGAAGGTGTTTGATAAGGGCCTACAGGAGAGGTTTAACCTGTGGTTTATTTTGTCCAGATCTGAAAGCAGAGTCTAGTAGAGCAGTTGAAGCAAATTCAGGAGGGTATTGAATCAATACGTGGAAAGTTTCAGGCTGTACATGGGGGCATATACTTTTAAAGAGAAGAGGGGGCCAGTCGGCCGACTGTGTCTGAAGAAGCCATTTGCTCGGTGTCAGTGCTTGGCTGTTTCCTTCTAGCCCTGCTTTTTTGTTCCCTTTCAGATAATGATCCAAAGCCTCCATTTACCCTGCCTCTACCATACCCTGGAACAGTGCTTTCCATATCCTAGTCAATCTTGTTCTTCCCCATGGCAGCATTGTTTCTTTTACCAATTAGCTTACATGCCCTCTGGCTCTCGATCCTTCTCCCAATATGGCCTGTTTATCCCCATCCTTATTATCAACCCCCCCCCTCCAAACATTCCCTTCAAGAAAAACAGCCCCAGCATCTTCAGCCTTTGGAAGTAACTGAAGCTCTTCATCCTTGAACCTCTATCTTGAAAGTATTCCAGCTTCTGAACATATTCTCAAAACAATTACAGTCATCTTTCTTGGAGCGAAAGGGTTGTTCCTTGTCTAAACCATAACCTCATCTCCTATTCCATGACCTTATTCAATTATTCCTCATTTTCTGCACCTCATTCCTCCTTGTGTTCCTCCCAAGTTTTGAAGATAGCATCTCCTACTCATCACTGTTTCAGCACTGAGGTAATATAATACTCTCAGGCTCACCATCACTTTACCTTAATTTTCATCAAAGTATCTTTAGCCTTCCAATGGGAATACTAAAGTGTGACTCGATGGACATCATTCAGATTATGAAAGGGTTTGATAGAGTCAACATGAAGCAGATGTTTCCTTTTCTCTTTGCTGGGGAAGGAGGCTAGAACTACGGTCCTTACATGAAATAAATAACAAGTACAAGAAGAAGTTCAGGAGGAATATTTTTATCCAGGTAGTGGTCAGAATGTGGTACTCAATACCATTGGGTGCATTTGATAAATGTAGATCAAGGGAAAGATGAGCGCATGAGAAAGGAATAAAACATCATTCATAAGATGAGTCAAAAAGAGTTGGAAGGAGACCTGTATAGATAGCTAGTGGTCTGATTGATTTAATTCTGTGCTGAAAATAATACAGGAGTATGTAATACTAAAAGCAGAAGCATACCCAGTCCTGTTTTTGGTGTCTTCTTTAAAACAAATTTATCTGATTATTTTTCCCTCTTCTGGATGCTTACTAAGTGCAAATGAATGGTTGTGTTTCCTGAATCACATCAGTGATTGCTCATCAAAAGTACCTCATTAGCCATGTAGCCATTTAGGACATCTGGTCAGTAAAAGGACTATATAAATGCAATACTTTTGTTTGTTATTGTTTTATACAAAACAGCAAAACCAAAGAGTGCAGTTGGTTACCCACTTACCTGGATGGGTGCCGCTCCAACAACACTGAAGAAGCTTGAGAGCATCCAGTGCAAAGCAGCTTATTTGATTGGCACCCAACCCCCCACTTTAAACATGCAGTCCCACCACTATCAATGCAGAGTGGCAGCAGTGTGTGTACCATCTGCAAGTCAAGGCTCCCTTGACAACCTCGACCACCCAGATGGAAAGAGCAGCAGATGCATAGGTGAGCTAAAGGTACCATAGTCTTACAGGAAAATAAGGTAGCTCTATCACTAGAGATGCTCTGCTGGTAGTAGCTGAACCTGAAGGTTGAGAGGGAGAATCCTTCACGGTAACCTCAGCTGTTGGCAGGAATTGAGCCTGCATTGTTAGCATCACTCTGCAATGTGAGCCAGCCATTCAGCCAAGTGAGCTAAACCACCCCCTTCACCAGTTGCATGTCACCCTCCAAGTCATTCACCATCCTGACTTCCTCCACTGTCACTGGCTCAGAATTCTGGAGCTCCCTTCCTAACAGCACTCTGGGTGCCCCAATAGTGCATGGACTGTAGCAGTTTAAGAAGGTGGCTCACTACCGCCCTCTCCAGGGCAATAAGGGATGGGTAATAAATGATAGCTGAGCCAGTGATGTCCACATTCAGTGAATGACTAATAAAAAGAGAAAGTTACGAAGCATAGAAATACCTGGAGCATTTTTACTCAAATAACAAAGAAAAGTCCGCACCATACAAATGTTTCAATTTAACCCTCATGCTATGGTACAGGCTTGATGAACTAGCTGGTCTGTCAGTTGCATTTGTTTGTGTATTCCTCATTTTGCCTGCCCATTTATGAACATTCATATTTAATAACTGAGGGCATGCTTTTACCTGTGTCTGTGAATGGGTTTTGAGTGAATTAAATCTGAGTGCTTGCTTCAGTGTCTTGGGGAACAGGCTGGCAGCTGTCACTGAGTCCCTTAGTACCTGTTGCTTCAGTGGATTTTTATAATTTAGACCCATGTGCATCATTCAGCTCCCTCAGTTCTTGTCTCAGTGCATTGGTGACACAACAGCCTACCATTCTGAAACCTCATTGCTGAAGTGGCTATTGTTCCGGCCAAAGTGGCTTGAATAGAAATCGGTTCCCCCTGGTGGAACGTTTCAGAAACTGCAATCTGGAATCTTTTATTGGAGTAAATGACATACGTACCACGATTTTTCATGACCTCCAGGAACTGCAGAATGCTTTTACAGCCCAATGAAGTGCTGTCGAAGTACATTCACTCTTATCATTGTTGGAAATAGGATAACCAAGTCAACAATAGCAATGTGTGTTCTACAACTGTAGACATGCTTGGATTACATAGGAAACGGTTTATTGCCAGTCTCAACCTGATCAAAGGTAACAAGGTGTACAGCTGGATGAACACGGCAGGCCAAGCAGCATCAGAGGAGCAGGAAAGCTGACGTTTCGGGCCTAGACCCTTCTTCAGAAAATTTTCTGAACACAGCTGTGTTCATCCAGCTGTACACTTTGTTATCTCAGATTCTCCAGCATTTGCAGTTCCTACTATCTCCTCAACATGATCAAAGCCTGTTCCATTCAGGTTGTGGCTCTGTGGGATTTTCTCTCACACCAGAGCATGAAGGTTCAAGTCCCTTTCCACAGCACTGAGGGAGTGCAGCAGTGTTGGAGGGACTCGCTTTCAAAGGAAACATTAAATCAAGGTGCCTTTCTGGTGAAGGAAAAGATCTCCTGGCACTTCTTTGAGGGAAGGCTAGGTATTCTGTCCAGTGTCCTGCTCAATACATATCCCTCAAGCAATATTTCCAAGCAACAGCTGACTATGAGTTCACCACTGTTAGCGGGAGTTTGCTGTGCGTAAATTAGCTGCTGCAATTCCTACAACACAATTGTGACCACACTTCATTGCTTTGGGCTGTCTTGCGGTAATTGAAAAATGTTGCTGATATGTGCAAGGTTTTTTTTAACAATTATTCACTTTCATTATCTGGCCTCCACAAATTTCCAATTGTGTAGTAATAGTTTACCATTAGGGTGAGCTCCAGTACAGTAACAGACCAGCTCCAGTATCTGCGATCAGATTTTGCTATCCTCGAGTGAACAGTGACTCAGTAACTGTGAGCATAAAGCCATATTGAACACTGAAACCCGACTGATAACATTTTCCACTCCACTGCTTGCCCAAACCATTCACACATTTACCATGACCTCCTATATATCCCTCACTACTATTTTGTGAAAAAGTTTTTGAGTTAGACCAACAACCAGTTCTCTAATTCTAAGAAGCCAGGGGCCAGGAGAACATAGCCATTTGAGGGCGATGAGTGCTTCACTCACCAAGCTTGCATCTTTGACAGAATGGTTACAGCATAGTAAGTGGCCATTCAGCCCATTGTGACTGCACTGGCTCTCTGCAGCAGCAAATGTCACTCCTGCACTTTCTTTCCATCGCCCTGCATATTCTTTAGTTTTAAATAATCGACTCCCTGTTGAAGCCTCAAATGGACATTACTCCAACTCTCAGACGGTGCATTCCAGACCTTAACCATGTGTTGCATGAAAAAAGATTTTTCCTCATGTCACCAGAGGTTCATTTGCCATTTGCCTTAAACCTGTACCCTCTTCTTTGCAATCCTCCCACCAATGGAGACAGTTTGTCCCTACTATGCTGTATTAGGTTCTCATAATTTCAAACATTTTTGGCAAATTCTCTGTTAGGAGATGGCACGGTGCCTCAGTGGTTAGCACTGCTGCCTCACAGTGCCAGGGACCCAGGTTTGATTCCAGCCTTGGCCAATTGTCTGTGTGGAGTTTGCACATTCTCCCTGTGTCTGCGTGGGTTTCCTCCAGGTGCTCTGGTTTCCTCCCACAGTCCCAAAGCTGTGCAGGTTGGTTGGATTGGTCATTCTAAATTGCCCATAGTGTCCAGGAATGTGTAGGTTAGTTGGATTAGCCATGGGAAATGTAGGTTTACAGGGATAGGGTAGGAGATAGGTCTGGGTGGCTTGCCCTTCAGAGGGTCAGTGTGGACTCAATGGGCTGAATGGCCTGCTTCCACACTATAGGGTAGCTACTCTTCAATGAACATGTTCTTCCCCAAGCTCCAGCTTCTATAAAGCA